GTGCTGACTGAGAACACTACAGCCACCTATCAAGTACTTTTGCTCGTATGAATTAATCTATGAAATTAATCTGGCTCTCTGACTAATCTGTGCCCCATCCTTAATAGATATTCAGTGACAAGATATAACAGGCATAAGATCTCCTCTCCATTACATAATTATCTTTTTATCATCTCCAACTCAACAGAATGTTGGAAAGAAATTATAAAAACGGGCTCAGGACTCTGACTATCTCTCTCTGTGTATGGATAACTGTCTGAAAACTGGTGAGAAGTGGACCAGATTTGGTCCTTGGGAGACAAACAAGAAAATAAAAACTGAGTTCAAAAATAGGTTCAATCTAGCCAGAGGCTATGGAGGAAAAAAAATCAGAAAAAATCTCTCCCTGCAAGAGGTAGTTGGGCATCGAACTTGAGATGCTGCTGATCCTCCATTCTAGGCTTCCTTGCTTCTTCCTCCAAGTCATGTGATGCAGAACAGAGCTATGCATTACTGGGGCCCTGAAAAGGATTCTAGAAGCTCTCATCTGTCAGATAGGTATTGTCAATGTACAGTATAGTAGTTCCAGGTCTCTCGGTTTCTGCAATGCCCCATCAGCCCACCCAGTAAAATCACCTGAATGAGTTAGAAAGAAGATGTCTCTTCACATTCTGGGTGCCCACTGGAGGCATATCATTTTCTTATTTTTGGAGCTTTTTTTTGGATGGCTACCTTTATTTTTGGAAAAGTTAGTTCTCTAAATAGAAGATGCTATTGTTCTTAAAATCAGTAAGTTTGGCGGCAAAGATTATGATAAACTCAATGCGACAGAGAACACATATAATAAGCAGAATATAATGCTGGAAGAAAAACCTCCCTCTCAATTTTTATTATTTTTAAGCAAGTTCCCACCCCTTAGCAAAACTGGAAATAGATGTTTGATAAGGCAGAAACATCTAAGTCAAGGGCATAGCTAAAAAGATTTTTGGAAGTCAAAGGAACATCAATATCCTTGGGAATTTCTATTTCTGTACTCTGATAGGAAAGTCAGAATACACCATGCAAAATCAGCACACTGTTTGGCTTAATTTGCATAGTTCAGACAGTTCTGCATTAGGCATGTGATCGCAACCTACTTCCAGCAGAAACATAAAGCTGTTTTTACAAGAGGGAGGTGGGAGGAAAAGCTGGAAGCAATGTAGGACGCAGCCTAATTGAGAAGGATCATTTTTTAAATATTAGATCTTTTGTTTTTCCTACATTCTGAGGGCAGGGCAGCATTCCTTAAAAGGGAAGAGAGTCAAAGCAGACATTATTAATTTTGGCCCAAAAAATCTTGTTCTGAAATGATTTTTGTGTTTGGGGAAATTAAGTATTACTGCTGCCACCATAAAATTTTCACTTACACGGGAAGAAAGGAAATACAGTGGTTAATTATCTAAAGAAAAAACATGTCCTTTTACAAGTAAATAGATTGTTCTTGTTTTATGTAAAGGTGAAGTATTAAATAACTTTCTTAACAGCAGCAATTAAAGTAGTTTTGTTAAAAAATATAAATTCACAATGGGCCATTTACATAGCTCTATTTATAAAACTGAACCACTAAGAAAATATCTGCACACTTACATTTGCCCTTACAAGACTATCTTATCAAAAACAAACAATAAAAACATCCTTCAACAGCCTTTATTTGAAAACAAACTCAAACCTTTCAGACAGCTCATGACATTTTAGGAAGGAAAAAGATCAACAGTGCAATGGTAACCCCATCATATCAGCAGTCAGCCCCATCAAGTTCAAATGAGCATACTCAAAAGTAAATATGCATCAGAATTAGTAAAATAATTAGGGGAAGCAAAGCTGAGAAAGTGGTCATTGCACAAAATGGGGGCTTCTCAAATAGCTATATCGATCCTATTGATATTAGTCAACTTGCTTCTTCCTAGAACTTATATTTTAATGGCTACATGAAATTTGGACACCAAGAATCTATTATAGAAAAGCCCTATGAATAGAAGCTGGATGGAAAGACAAAGAAGGCCACAGTTCCTCACATCCAATTTAAGAGCAAGCCCCACTGAGCATAGTAATAATTGCTTCTTAATAAGCAATCACACAAAGATTTAGAAAAAAAGAAAAGACAGCTTATGTGTATGTTAAAGTCCTTTTTTTTTTTTTGCTGTACTGTTGCAGAAAGGTGAAAATGAAATTTCTAGCACATTGCTCACTGGAGAGTTATATTGAGCAACAAGCTTCCATCTAAAAACAGAAAACATGATGATCTCATTTACAAGATCTGTTAGACTTTATTTCTCTCACCCCCTTCTTTCCTTTCCTTTCTTTTTTTTCAAACACTGTCAAAATCAAAATTAATAAACCTTAAACATTTGCACCACTTTCCTACTACAAAAGCACAAACGAAAAATATTTTTCCTAGCACAAGATAAAAAGATATGCATGTAATCAGAAGGAAATATATTTAATAACTTCCTTAAAATATGCACTGGAATCAAAATGAAGAATAATTTTTAAAACCATACAGAAGATAATAAAAATGATCTATTATCTCAGCTCATTTTGATCAGGAAATAATTCGGCAAAAGTTAATAAAGTTAGTTTGGAGCACAGAGCATTTATGAAAAGCAGGCAGGAGTTTACAGATCTTATCTATTTTCTGTTATGGTGATAGATGATTAATAGGTGACAAAATCAAAATCAGATGGATTGGAGAGTAAGAAAATAACACTGACATTTTCCATTGAACTTACAGATCACTGGATTTATTTGCTGACCCAGATAACAATCAGTGTGAGAAGAATGGTTGGCAAGGAAAAGAAAGAGGGTAATAGAAGTAGCTTGAGAGATCAATTAAAGAAAAGTAAAGAAAAACCAAAGTTACATGAATGTGACGGGGGGACTATGTTCTTAGTAACATATTTTTATAAATAATATGCCTCCTATATTTCAGGCTATAGAATCCCTATGAAGAAAATAGTTTTCCTGGTTTAAGAAAGCATACGATACTGATTTCAAATGATTCTCAGACCTTTTCAAAGCACAAAATTTGGTCCTTGCATTGATTTAAACCCAACTGCTATTAATTTTTAAAAATTATATTAATTTTTGATGGATGCTTGCTTCCTGTGTCCATAGGTCACTTCAGACCAACTCTTATAGATGTTATGTTGGGACAGAGTTCAGTGGTATGCTGAACAGTAGTCCACTTGACAGAACTACTCTACAACTGTATATGTCATATGATCGCTATATACAGTACCACACCTTAAGGTCACTTTTCAATAGTCGGCAGCTCCATCTAGGGACGACGTGGATACAGAAGCTGGTTTTCCCACATATAACTATAGCAGGCTTATCAGTTATGCATGCAATTCTGATATATTCTTAACAGGTGGAATTTTGTTTATGATTTTATGGAACTAGCAGTGCATTGGAATCAAACAATGCTTTCCAAATTTGTCTTGTTTCAGATACCATGTTTTAAATAACTCATGGCTGCTGAAGTCTGGAGATCATAGGAAAATCTTCTGCTTTGGATATTAATTTAATATCAGAAGCAGAAGCTGCTAGTCTTCTATAGAAAATAACAGATCTTTCCATTTCAGTTCCTAATTTCTTTTAGAATTAAATTCCTTACGTCCCATTACAGAATCAGCCTGTAATTCTTTTATTTGTGTGTCTATATTAAAATTTCATATATTTTTAGGTGCAGTTCATCAGAATAATACAGATATTTTGTGCACACTTCTCCTTAAAATATACATTAATTCTATACATTTTTCACAGTTTGCACATTGGTTTGATAGCTGTGAATTAAGTAAATTCCCATTAAGATGCAAATTGAAAAAATGTTTCTCCCGTTCCTAAGTTCCTGATGACAGACAAAAAAAAAAAAAAAAGGAAATGACAGGAGCAGATCACCCTAAAGCTTGGTGCAGCTCAGTCTCACACCAAAATTAGTTATTCCTCTATAGATTAATGAAGCCTAAGGCTGTCATCTTATCTGTATCCTTTAGAGCAAGCCCAGGTGGAAGACAGTAGATCATAGTTGCCAATAAACAGGCCTAGATAGAAATAGGCTGCAGGCACGAGTTCCATGTTTGAATGCAATTTCTGTTTTTTGGCTAGGACTGCTCAGTAGAGGCAATATTACCAGTAATCATTTTGAGTCAGGGTGATGACATCCTTTTAATCTGGGATCTTTGCAACAATGCTAAACATTTGCATCTGAGCACAAGCTCAGTCTGGTGCATAATCAGGTCTGCTTCTTCCTCTGTGTAATCAGGCTAACAACTCTGAAACCTCTATGCCAATAAGAAACAGATGGATTTAATATAATACCTGTTTGTTTTTGTTTTGTTTTACGAATAAATGAAGAATTGTTTACCTTTAGATTCTGGAAGGATCTTGTGATCTGAAGCTGAATATACCCCAAACCCAGCTAATTAAGGTAATGGTATGTTATTTCATAAAATAATATAATTTCATGCCTTTCATGTGAAAAGTAACTTAGCTCATATGGTTAGAAACAATTGTGAAATCAAATATGTTGAATTTTTTTCTACTTCTTTTTCGGTGCCTTTTTTTTTTTTTTTCAAAAACAATCTTGGGAGCCAGGGAAGAAATTTAGATCATGGTTACAATGAAGGGAAGCAGTTTGATTCCCCAGCTGAATTCTGACTATGATTGTAGGTTTCTCATGGCATGAGCAACACCACCTGGAAGGCGCTGTGCTGGGCCCACAGTTCAAGGGGGATTGGCTGAATCCCTCTTCCTCTTCATGTCATACGTCTAATTCAGTCCCCTGTCCAGGTGCAATGCTACACATTTGAAAGAACAAAATTAAGCTGTATGTTCAAACCCAAGGATTCTTAAGTCCATATGTACTTTGGTCTTGAGTTGTATGTCATTTTTAAATCAGAATCAGGAGAGCTGCTGTCTATTAATTATTCAATTATTCTAAGTTGAACACTGAACGTTTGCTAAACATCTGCATTTCTTACCTTTAATCTTTCTGTTACACCATCAGTGAAACTGACTGTGAATTCAGCAATTTTGGGCACTCTAAGTTTTCCTTTGTTCTTCTGGTCTGGTTGATATTCTGTTCTTGTTTTCACAATCACCTAGAAGCAAAAGTTGGCATCTTCAGTTTTCAGAAAAAGGGATACGCATTTTCATTAATTCAAGAATTAGCATCCAATAAGTCATCTCTGTGAATAACTTCATGTATACAGAAGTCATTGTTGTAAGGTTAAAAAAACCAGAGAGAGAAAGAGAGAGAGACAGTGAAGATTAAATAAATGTATTGACCAAACTTTCCACAATGGTGAAAGACTGAACTAAGTCACCCTTCCTAAACCTACAAGTGTTCTGCACTTCATAGCTGGAGATAAGGGAAGCTGAAATCTACTTCTTTTGGAAAAAAGGGCAAATAATCCTTTCCCCTGGAAATTTGCATTTTAGAGTCTATATTTTGATCTCCAAATGCTGCAGAGTGACACAAATTACATGGGATAAACTTTAGAGTTATTTGGGGGTTTGAGATAGCAGGGATGCTCTGAGGATCACAGATTAAAGGCCTGGGCCTTGCCCCTGCATAATCTGGAAGGTATGAGATTTGGGGAGTCCATTTTACAAAGATAACCATCCCACATGTAATAAGAGTCCCTTATTTGATTGAGTGCATGTTACCTAGCCACACTGTGTTTTATTTGGTTTATTGAAAGCAATATGTATTTCTCATAATAAATATTCTGATAAACTGATCTCTTGCCAGTGTTGCCAATTAATAATCCAATCATCCAAATTAATGGGAATATGGAGACTGCATGCCAAATGATAGTCCTGTATAGAATTCCTCCTTCCATTTTTTCTCCACCTTCTTCAGAGGTATCCAGTGATATGGAACAGGGCTTAGGCCATGCCACAAAGCTGCTCCACTCTGACTAGTCCAGGATAATCTCAGGAAAAAACGCATTTGATTTAAGAAGCAACATGCATGCCTGGGTGCACTCCAACACTCTTTTTCTTCTCGAATCTAAAGCACAGCTCAGTTCTTACAGTTAAGGGCAGGTAAAGATAGCAGAGCACCTTTCTGGCATGAACATGGCACCACAGCATTCCTTCCTTTCTTATGATAGTCAGGAAGTGGTAGGGCTTTTCACGTTACATTGAACTCTTGCTTTAATACCTAAGTAGTCATATTTCTTGCAAGAAAAGAGTGTTTTTTCCCCCGGTGAAAACCATTTGAAATACAACACATGCTCAGAATTTGCACATTCAGAATTGGCACACAGTACAATGTTTTCTCCTTCTAATCTACCACGAATGTTGAAGTGGTTGTAACGCGTGCAACAGTTGTTGCATGCTGGACAGTGAAGCTACCTAAATGAAAGATGGACATAGGGTAAGGCTATTTACTCCTGTGTCTAAAGTGATTCAACTATATCATTGAGGCATGCACATTTCATTTTAGGATATTACCATGAACTATTTTAAACCTTAGCCACATGCAGTTAAAGATCCTTCTTCCCTTTCTGTGTTTAGGGCAGAATGCCTATCTAGGAATTCTGGTAGTCCTACAGAGCTTGCAGAAATGTTGGAAAACCCGTTTAAAGATATGTTTGGATGCCACCTACCATGTTCCTGAGTCTTATAAACAGCAAACTTTATGACTAATGTTAGATGAGCAATTTGCAATTTAATTCACTTATATAATATACATATAAACACTTTCCAACATTGTATTATATTTTGCATTGCCCTTATATTGTTGGCTACTTTAGAAGCTAATTTTTGCCTGACAAAATGAGATATAAAAGAAATGTAACAGAATTATATGTAGATAATTAAACACATGTTGGAATTTCACCCAGAATTTAGGTGCCAAGTGCAGATGATTTTGTTCCAGAGGCTACAAAATTTGGAGAGCTACCATTTTCACATCATTCCACATAACTGATTTTTAAAATGTGTTTTCTATATTCTCTTATTTTTAACTGCTGGTGAAGTCACTGACAATTGAGAATCCACACAAACACACGTTATATCTTAATGTATGTGTATCCCTTCCAAATAGAATTGGAAATTCTATTTTTGAGATTTACTTCTAAGATTCATACATGAAAAAAGGCAACTCTCAATTTTTTTGCATTGCCAAAACAATTAATTAATATTATCATTGCCATTAATAATATGTATCTCAGAACAGATAACAAATTTTCTGCTGAAAATTCTAAGCAGACCAGATCATTAGTAATTTCTTGTAAATTACCCTGTACTCACCTTCAATCTATCGGCTCTCAAAAATCATCTATTTATTGGCAGCACAATCCTAGGCTATCTACTCAGAAAGAAAATCAATTGAGATCAATGTGACTTACTCCTAGATAAGTATGAATGGGAGGAAGTTTAAATTCTCCCCTAAAGCAACAATGGATTAAATCCTATGAAAACTTGGTACAACTTGAGTCTAAGAAGAATGAGTTGTCTATAACAAAGATGAAGGGAGAACCATAGGGATGATTACCTGGTTTTGCAATGAGGAGGAAATTAGAACTATTGAAGAAAAACAATCATTTTCTGTTGGTAGTATATCAACAAGGAGATGGCCTCAAAGCTTAACTTCCAAAGAGATAGGCGTGAAGCATTAGTCTTACAGTATCTGTATAGTATGCCAGCAATGTAAACTCTGTTTCTTAGGGAGGTGAAGACTGAGCAGTGAATGAAAAGCACTCTTTGAATGCTCAGATGCACACTATTTTCATAAATATATGGAAGAGAGGATAATTTTTATGAAGAGGGGAAAGCTGTGTGGTATGCGGTAAGATGCTCTATTTGTAAAAGAACAGTCTTTGCTTCAAAATTCCCTGATACAGATTCATTGACCAATCATTCCAGTTCATTCATGAAATGGAAACAGCATCCTGCAAATGGTGGAGCAAACATACGTATATATGAATTTTGTGGATAATTTATTTTCCTATTTTTAGTTATCTGTGAGCATGAACTTTGATTGCCCACTCTTTACTAGTAATACATCTGATTTGTTTTTATGATCAATACAAGATGTTGATTATTACCTCTAAAGCCCTACATGGGTTTGGGCCTGGGTCTCTTCAAGCCTGTCTATCCCAGGTAAAGCATGCAAGCAGATAATATCTGCTGAAGGTCCCCACTTATTTGGAGTGAGGGGCCATGGAAATATTATCTGTGGGGACTCCCTTTCTACAGAATCATTTGTAAAACTGACCCTTATGGCCTTCTAGAGATGTCAGCCTTCCCAGGTAGCCAGACAGGATACACAATCAGATGTGCTAATACTACTTTGTTGTAAGTCTACATTAACAGAATCTTGCAAGTCTAAAAGTACAAATTTCCCACCATCTCTTTTACAGCCTGAGAAGTTAGGGAGGGTTCCTACTAAGCCTCTTTCTCTATCCATTATGCAGCTGCGGGCTATGCCCTCTCTTATCTGGCCATTCCCTAGGCAGCATCTCTTCCCCCCATCTCCCAAAGTCATTCCCACATACCATTACAGGAGATTTATGAAGAGTTGGTTATTGCAGAAGGCGAAACTTTTGGAGATTGATTTATTGTTCTGAAAGAGATGTGGCACCATGAAAACTACACTCAGTTTTACTGTTATTACCACTGTTTATTTGTTGTATTTTTTTCTTATGTATTTCTGATAAGATTGAAATGGAAGGAAGGAAGGACCCTTCCAGCTGTTATACTCCATCAGTTCCTGCATAGGAGTGTGCCATTTTTATCTGTGAAATGTTGGAGGGACATATTAGATCAGCCAGCACAGGTGACTGATGGACCTAGTTGGGTTTCAGAGAGAGCTTGGAGTTTTCCCTGAGGGTCTGCTGGGCAGTTTGGTTGAGGCCCTAGTCACACCTGGAAGAGGCATGAGGATGGGGCCTTAGACTGGATTGCCCCTGTGCAGCCTTTCTCCTTGCACAGATCCTGGATCACCTTGGTTATTGGAGGAGCACAAAAACAGCTGAGGATCTCTGGGAAATGGAGCCCAATTTGTGTTTTGGTTTGCTTTGGTTTGCTTTATTTTGGATCAATCTATTTTGGTTAGTTTTTGCATGTTGTTCTTCTGGTCTGTTGCATTGTTTTTATATGTTGTGTTTTTTAGCTATTAGTCACCCAGAGTTCTTAGGAGTTGGGCAACCTATACATTAAATCTAATGAATTAATTAAATAATATGTGTGCATTTATCTGTTGGTTTGCTGCCCTGAGAAATACTGGGGTGGGGGGGAGCCAATGACAAAACAGCATTGCCCTCTCCTCTTTATATGTGCATCATGTCATCATGCGCATGTACCAAAAGGGTTTATTTATCATTTTGATGAAAGCATCAGAACATGCAGGCACCTCTTCCTGCCCTATTTATAGTATAGAACATTTTTTCAAATGTAAAAATGGGACACTTCTTGGAGATACCACATGGCAATAAATCAGTGCCTTGTCCAATCTTCCTCTTCTTCGAAGTTTCTTTGAAGAATCTTTTTTCCCCCAGAGATCACCCCAGAAATAAAAATATGTCTGCTTCAAATGCCATGAGAGGCATGTCCAAGTTGTCTGGGCTGCTCCACTTTGCCAGTCCACATCATATTAACCACAAGTGGCCAGTGTGCATAAATAACCCTTCAATTTTAACAGCACATATGAATAAAGAAACCAAGACTCCATCCAATGAGTTTATAAATGTTATATAGTATAGAAGTAAAACAGGTGCATCAGGATAAAAATAATGGCAAGTATTTTTAAAATAAAAATTATTGGCCTTCTCAGTCCAGGAGAGGCTAGGAAAACTTGTAAAAGAAAGCACCATATTATGCTAGTAAAAAGGTAACAAAATGACATTAGCTCCAACCCTTGGCTAGGCAACATGGAACTAAGAGCTTCTAATTAAGAGTATACGCTGAGTTGGTCTTGCTGTTTATACTGAAAGTTCTCAGGACAAATTAGGTGTGATCCTCTTGAGGTGATCCCCTGCTATTCTGTACCAACAAGTACTGTCTCTGTTAACTGAAAAAGCTCTACTTCCGTTAAGTGCAGTGACATCTCTTTTTCCTTATCTGTTCTCCACTTATATTACTGGTTGGA